CCAAATTTCTTGCCAGAGATGAGTAAGTGCCTTCTGTGTCACCACACTTTCTTGAAAGATTTCATTTTTCATTCCATCAATTCCTGGTGCCTTGTTCTTTGACAATTCCTTCAACGCACCTTGGACTTCCTCTTTCAGTATCATTGGCTCTTGGTCGCATGCTACCTCTTGAAATGGTTGAATATTAACCATTTCCTTCTGGTACAGTGACTCTGTGTATTCCTTCCATCTTCTCTTGATGCTTACTGCAGCATTCAGTAATTTGCCCAGAGAATCTTTCAATAATGAAAGTCGAGGTATTAATTTTTTCTTCAGTTCCCCCAGCTTGATAAATGTTGAGTGTGTTCTTCCGTTTTGGTTTTCAGATTCCAGATCTTTACACACTTTGTTGTAATATTTGGCTTTATCTTCTTGACCTGATATTTGAAATTTTCTGTTCTGCTCTTGTACCTCCTCATTTCTTGCATTTGCTTTAGCAAGTTTCAGTGTCTCTTCTGACATCCATTTGACCTTTTCCTTCTTTCTTGTCTTGTTAATGACTTTTTGCTTTCTTCATGTTTGATGTTCTTGATGTCAATCCACAACTCTTTAGGTCTTTGGTCTAGTGTTTAATGTATCAAATCTGTTCTTCAGATCGATCTCTAAATTCCAGTGGAATATATTCAAGGTCATATTTTGGCTCCGTGGACTTGTTTTCATTTTCTTCAGCTTCAGTTTGAATTTGCATATGAGTAATTGATGGTCTGTTTCAGTCTGCACCTGGCCTTGTTTTGACTGATGATAGGGAACTTTTCCATTGTCTCTTTCTGCAGATGTAGTCAATTTGATTTCTATGTATTCCATCTGGTGAGGTCCATGTGTATAATTCTCTCTTATGCTGTCTAAAGAAGGTATTTGAAATGAACAAATCATTGGTTTTGTAGAATTCTATCATGTGTTCTCCAGCATCATATCACCAAGGCCATATTTTCCAACTACTGATCCTTCCTCTTTGCTCCCAACCTTTGCATTTCAATCACCAGTAATGATCAATACATTTTGAGTGAATGTGTGATCAATTTCAGGTTGAAGAAGTTGGTAGAATTCTTCTATTTAATCCTCAATGGCTTTAGTGGTTGGTGCGTAAATTTGAGTAATAGTGGTATTAACTGGGTTTCCCTGTAGGCGCATGGATATTATCCTATCACAGACAGCGTTGTACCTCATGATTGATCTGGATATGTGCTTTTTGATGATGAATGCAACACCATTCCTCTTCAAGTTGTCATTCCTGCCATAGTAAACCATGTGGTTGTCAGATTCAAAATGGCCAATACCAGTCCATTTCAGCTCACTAATGTCTAAGATATCAATGTTTATGTGTTCTATGTCATTTTTGACAACTTCCAATTTTCCCAGATTCCTACTTCATACATTCCATGTTCTGATTTTCAATGGATGTTTACAGCTGTTTCCTCTTCATTTTGAGTTGTGCCCCATCAGCAAAGGAAGGTCCCGGAGGCTTTTCTCCCATGGGCTTTACTCCATTCATGTCATCACAGTCAACTCTACTTTGAGGAGACAGCTCTTCCCCAGTCGCATTTTGAGTGCCTTCCAACCTGAGGGGCTCATTTTCCAGCACTATATCTGACAGTGTTTCTCTGCTATTCGTAAGATTTTCAGTGACTAAATATTCATAAGTAGCTTGTCACTCTTTCTTCCTAGCCTGTCTTTGTCTGGAAGCTCATCTGAAACCTGTCCACCTTGGGTGACCCTTTGTTGTTGTTGTTGTTAAGTGCCATCGAGTCGGGTCCGACCCACTATGGGTGACTCTACTTGTATTTAAAATACCGGTGGCATAGCTTTCAGAATCACAGCAACTCATATGCCACCACAGTACAACAAACTGACAGATGAGTGGTGGATCACACAACTGGTAAATGGCAAAATTCAGACTCAGGTCTGTCTCACTCCAAAGTTTAACCTGCATTAGATTAGGAGCTATTAGGGAACTTTTTAATATGGATTTTTACAGAGATGGGACCCAAAGTCCTATATCCTTATAAAAACTGCCCTGGTGGTGCTTCCCTAAGGTTTTGAGGCAGAGTGTTGAGAGCTAACTACACATGTCAGTGGTCACATGACCCTCACCTGGCCACCATGCTGGAGACTAGGACTGGGGTATCCTAGGAGGGCAATTCACTGTGTATTGCCAACAATTCACCACTCCTTCTAGAGAGAGATGTTCACTGTTGAGGAAACTGAAGCTCCCTAAGAGATGAGTTAGGAAGCCAAGACAGGAATAGGAAACTCTTCCAGCCACCCTACCTCCCACTCCTCCCATCACAGGGGAAGTGAATATTCTGGGGACTTAGAGACTGGCACCTTAGGGTCCTACTCAGATTGGCCTGTGACTTCCCCTTTCAACACTTAAGGGCATTGTTGTCTCTTCCCTTCTTCCTGCTGCTCTGATGATCTAGATCCTCACCCAAGTTCTGGGCTAGGCATGGAGGAGTCATCTCCTTCCAATGGTTCAATAAATCCAGTGTTTCAACTCTGCCTTCTATTGGATGCCCCCTCTGGTCATATCCCTGGGCTTGCAGGGAGGATATCCAACCTCAGGCTTTTCTCTAGGGAGAGGGCAATGCTCCATTATGAGGAAGGTGGAAGGATCTGAGGGAACTGTGAGACATCCAGCCTGGCCAGGTGGTCCCTGGGAAGGGTGAAGGTGAAACTGATGGGATCTTGAACGAGGCCATTCCATCCAGGAGTCTCTCCCTGGGAGGCAGCCTCTGGGGCCTGACTATAACCAAAATGTACCCTGCCCTGTCTCCTAACCCTCCTCCCAATCCATCATTAGGATACTTCCTGCCAGGTCCATTTCCTGGGCAGAGACCTGAGTGTGGAATTCTGACAGCAGCCAACACTTTCAGCACCCATCTCCCCTTGCCCAACTCCAACACCATAAATCCCAGAGTCCAGGGTCCTTGGGAGCAGGGGGGAGGAAGGGTGGGAGGCAGCACAGGGTCTGGTGGACACAGAGTGGCTCTCTTGGGCTGGCAGTCCATGTGTCTTGGCCTCCAGTCAGCAGGTTAGCTGTATTAATCTCCATTGGCCATGCCTCAAAGTCAATCTGTGCCTTGTCAGCTACCTCCAGCCCACAGAAATGACTTCACTTTGACTTCATATCTGCAGAGTGATGAGCAAATTGCTTCTGCAATCCTGAGTGCAGTGGAGCTCTTTGGGCAGCCTATGGAGCAAAGCCACTGATCTAAGCTTCCCAAACCCCCACCTCCAACCCCTCCCACGAGGTGCAGCTTCCATTCTTTTGAACCCTCCCCTCCTCATTCCTTTATCCCTGTGTGCCTGAGTGAAGGTCAAACTTCAAAATGCAGCTGGAGAGTGGAGTGAGGAGGGGACATGGACCTAGAACCCACCCTCAACCTCATCCCTGGACCCTTCATTATGATGAATCCTGGTGTGACGCTGTGGGATAAACACCAACTATTAATCACAAGGTCAATAGTTCAAACCCACTAGTCGCTGATCAGAAACTCTATCAGGGTCACTGTGGGTGGGGATCGACTCCACGGCACTTAATAAGAACACTAACAACATTTATGGGAAAGGGAGCCTGGTGGCACAATGGGTAAGAGTATGTCTGCTAATTGAAAAGTCAGCAGTTTGAACCCACCAGCCACTCAGTGTGAGAAAAGACCTGGAGATCTGCTGATGTAAAGATTACTGCCTAGGAAACCCTATGAGGTCGATATTGGGTAGCTATGAGTAGAAATCAGTTGGATGACACCTAAAGCAATTTTTATGGCCATTATTTCTTTGGAGGAAAAATAGATTTCTTTGGCCCAATTCTTCCTTGCTACTCGTTCTCCTATCAGTCCCACCTCCTAAGAGCTCTCCTGTTTGAAGAAAGGTAAGGGCATCTACCCTCCAACCTTGCCAACAGGAAGCTAGAGCACAGGGGCCAATCCTAAGGAGTATTGTTGTTGTTAAGTGCCTTCCAGTCTGTTATGACTCATGCCACCCTGTATAGGGTTTCCAAAGTGCAGCTGGTGGGTTTGAACCACCGACCTTGCTGTCTAGTGCATTATCCTGCAATGCCACACCAGAAGTAAGGACCAAAAACAACTCTACAGGATCCACCCTCTATCCAAGCACAACCAACAACCCTGTAAGTCACACTCTGGGTTCTCCTAAAGAGGGCGCCAAAGGCGCTTCTACCCCCTTACACCTGCCAAGCCTCTTCTCCCACCTCCGGCTCCAAAAAAGGCCGCGCTCCCACCGGGCCTCTGCCTCAGAGAAATGGCGGAAAATGCGCTCCGCACCTGGAGCCTGGAAGCCTGGTGCCCGTCTTGTCTCTGGGTCCGCAGGGGTGTACCCCTAGTCAGTCCATCTATATCCTGCAAGGCGCGTGTCCTCAGTTTCCTGGCCAGAGTAAAGTGATGCGCAGGGAATGTGAGCTGGCGCACTGGGTGGGAAAGAGTGGCTGTGCGTACCGAGACATGCGGACCCCGGGTGCCGTTGGTCTGCACCCAGTCCAGTCCCCTACCCCAGATCCCGCTCCTATGAGGGTGTCCATTCGACATCCCACTTTCATCCTCACCCTGCCGCGTCTGGCCCCTCTCTGCCCGGATCCACGCACTTACACCCCGCTTCCACTCACTTGCACTGGCACCCTAATCGCCTGCGTCCTGCCAGCACCCTGCCCAGTGTCCAGGCCCTTAGCTCCGCCTCCTGCCCCACCCCGCGCCTTCCCTCCCCTCCCCCCTTCCCTGCTCCTCCCCTTCTCCCCCCTACCTCTGTCCACCCGCCGCCAGCGCCCGACTTGCCTCAGTCCTGGGTAGAAGCCGGCCGGGAGACCCGACGCACCGCGTCCGCAGTGTCTATCAAGCCCGCGGCGCCCTAGACTGCCATGGAGCCGCCAAGCTGAGCGCCGCGCCCGCCCCAGCGACCCGCGCGCTCAAGCCGCTGTCCCTCTAGTCGCGGCCCAGGAGCGCACGGCGATGGCGAAGGCGACTGCCGGCGCCGCGGGGCTGCGGCTGCTGTTGCTGCTGCCGCTGCTCGGCGAAGGTGAGTCCTGTCGCCGCCCGCCCACCCGCCAGCGATTCCGCCCCTCAGACGCCAGGACGAAGTTGGTGTCGCGCACTAAGCTAGCTTCCCGAACCCTCTCGAAAACGCTTTTCTGCTTGCGGCGGACACCAGCTTTACTACCACCTGCCGCCTAGTCTCGTGGGGAGCTAAGGCGACTGGGGCCGGCAAACGGCGGACGCCTTGGGCGCGGCGCTGCGAGGCTCCGGCGGGCGGGGACTGCACTAGCGCTCTTACTGCTAAGAGTGGCGCCCGGAGGAGAGGAATCGGGGTCACGGGACAGAGCAGGGGATACGGGAAGAGCTAAGGTCCGGGACCAGGGTGTCGCAGCCAAGCGTCCCAACCTTGTCGCGCTTCCAGCCGCTTCTGCGCCCTAGAACCAACAGTTCGAATTTTGAGGTTTCGGCGGGTTTGGGAAACCCAGTGTGGTCTTGAAAGCCCGCTACTAGTATGGGTACTTTTATTTTTGCGGAAGATTTGCCTCCTAGCAGCCTTTTCCCCTTCCAAGTTCGTACATCCCTCCTCCACTCAGACGTCTTGCCGGCCAGGAGTGCAGAGGGGATCAGCTCGTTATAAAAAGGTTGTTTTTCTCTTGTGCGTTTTGCCATTCTTTCTTTTAAAAACCTATAAGTCTGAGGTTATTAGAGAAGTGCCCCTCGAGGGCCCGCTCCCAGTAGCAGAGGCCCCTCGGTGGTCCAAGCCCTACTCGGTAGCCTTAGGTCTAAAAGAAGGCTCTGGGCCAACCTTCCCAAGCGTTTTAATCAGCTTAGGGTGGGGTTAAGGTTCCGTGTTGCCAGCATTGGTGCTGGGCTTTGTGAAACCACTGTAGGATCCTGGTATTAGGTGTGGCCTTGCAAAGATTGGTCACCAGCCCCCTCCCTTGTACTATGGCAGGATGAATTCCAAGGTTGTAGAATCTGACCCCTGTGGCTACACATTTCAGTGACTCTCCAACTTGCCACCTATTTCATAGCCTCCTGCAGTGCTTACGTTTCCTTTAGGAGAGAGAAGGAGCCAGGCCATCCTCCACTACTTTGTACAGAGGGCTTTCATTCCCAGGAGCGTTTAAGAATTCAACCTGCCTCTAGCCCCCGGTTCCGACACGAACTCTGGGCTCACAGGGCTGCCAAGGGCAGCTACTGAGGCTAGAGTGTAGAGAAGGGAATACAGAATCAGTTGTAGAGAGGAGTAGGGGAGAAGTTCTTTTCTTCTTGTCTGGGAGGATGGGAGTAGAAAGTCTGACCCCAGTCATGGGACTCTGGGGTCACAAGGAAGACAGGCTCAAGCTGGCCTCATAGAGTGGGTGCAGTACAGGGCAGAAGTAAACACGTGCTGGGTTGTAACTTTGTAGTTTGGGGGTGTGGCTGGTTGTGAGTTGCTGCACTGAACAGCCTGAGGTGGCCTTGGTAGCCAAGGGAACTTCTCCTTGCCCTCAGGGAGCTTGTGGGACTGGACAGTAGGGGCCTTGCCAGGTGGCAAGAATACAATGGCTCCCTGCCCTGAGAACCTAGGTCTGTGGAGTTAGGTGGCCATAAACAGTTTCTTCAGCCTGGGAAAGCTGAGCAATCCCAGTGTCCAGATGACCAAGAAGTCAGGATTGCTAGTGGTGAGACTGTACCGGCCCTGCACACATTGGACACAGATGGGCCTTTGGAGAGGTTTATAGCACTGAGCACTCCTTATCATAGTCGTATTGGCACGGTCCAGCTTTTCTCTTCTTGAGCCCCTCCAGATAGCAAGACACTGGCTAGGTCCAACCCATCTACCAGGGCTACCTTAGCACGCCCTCTGGTGGATGCAGCCTCCAATGGTGGGCACTGCAGTGCACCTTTCTGGGCTCCGTTTCCAGAGGAAAAAAGTCCACCCCAGCTAGGCCCAGACCCCACCCCAAACTAGGGAGTTCCCCTCTTTGCTTTATGACAGTTGAGGTGGGGGTAGGGTGTTAGACCTTGATGAAGAGATACTGACCCAGACTAGAGTGCATAGCAAGAGTATGGTGCTGTAGGATAAGCACTGGACTGCTAACTGCAAGATGGATGATCTAGATTCACAAGCTGCTCTTCAGAAACCCTAAATAGGGTCGATATGAGCTGGAACCGACTTGACAGCACTTGACAACAATAACAACAGAGCACCTTGGGAGAAGTAGTATGGCCTCAAGGATGGCAGGGGTGGACCCCTGTAGGCTTCAGGAATGCCCAGAGTAGGGCCATGAAACAGAAAGAGGCCCAATGTGCATCACACCCACATCCAGTCATTATCACGGCACACATGCATGCTCTCAAAAAAACATGTCCCTAGGTCTGGGATTCACACACATACTCTCTTTTGTGCCTGACCCCTCAGAGTCCTGCCCACACTAGGCAAACACAATGAACCAAACATGTCCCTGCCATTCACATACACATTGCCCTCCCCCACACAAGTACACAGTCACCTTTTTGTATACTTCCTTGTAACTCAGGACAAGGCCCATCAGCCCATGTCTCCTCAACCAAAGCTCAGGGACCTTGAGTTAAAAGTTGTGCTCAGAAGGTTCCAGTCTTAACTGTTGCATGGAGGAAGCAATAACCTCAGCTTCTGGGGAACCGCCCTACAGTTCCAGGCTGACCCTTCACCTTGAGCCTCTCTCTGACCTCCATGGCTCCTCCAAGGTCCTCACTGCTGTCAGTTTCATGGCCCAGTATCTTGGGTCCCATTGTGTCCAGTATCTCTGTGTATAAGGAAGGGCCTACCTTTCTGCCCATAAACCCCTGGACCTCCCCTCAGGAACTGGAAAAGGGAAGACTAGTCTAGATTTGGTAACTTGAATACCTGCCTTGGCCTACAGTGCAACTCTGAGGGATCAGCAGGCTCTTCAAGGGTAACTTCTTTCTCCTGTGGCCCCTTTTCTCTCCCTGGGCCAGGGCCATTGGAAAATATGATCTCTTCTCCAAGCAGGGGCTGGGCTTATCCCTTTTTCCTCCCCTACAGACAGTAGTCTGGAACAGGAGCCACACAGGGCTAGAAGGGCTCCAGCCAGCTTGTGGACTCCTCAGGGTGGGGCCTTTGAGTCAAGAGCAAATGGGGGCCTTTATTGAGCCCATTCACTCAATTGCCTTTATTCTGCAGAATTGCTTTAGGGATGGTTAAGTAAATCACTGTTTCCTTGGTCGTGTAAAGAAAATGGGATGCATTCACCTAATGGGGAGCTAATGGCCTTTTAGGCAGGGGAGGAAAAAATGAATTAAAAATTATGCTATCTGTTAAAATGTAGCCTGGGGTGCCAGGGGAAGGGAGGGCCCGGAAGCTGCATCCTCCTCTAGTGCCTTCAAGGGCCTGCCTATTGGCTCCCCTCCTGGCAGGTTGAAGGGTGAGATGGCCCTCCTCCTACTTGACCTTCCTCCGCACCTCGCACCTCGTCTACCTGCACAGGTCAGATGGGCTGTGCAGTCATGAGGAGTCTCAGGGACACCTCAGTTTCTGTTCTCCTAGCCTGAGGTTTGGAAGTCAGTGATTCTGGAGCTGTTTATGCAAGGGGCCACTGTCCCCTTAGCTCCTCCCCTGCTGGCATTGATGCCCCCAGAAAGCCAGGTATGGGGAGGTGAAGGACAGTGGGCTCTGGGACACACAGTGGTAGTTGACAACCTTGCTGCTCTTGTCGGCCATCTTGGCACCAGCTGAGCCCTCACGGAGAACAGGTGGATAACTTGTGCAAACTCCTCATTTTTGCCTCATAGTAGTTCCACAAAGTTCAGCTACTAGGGCGTTGTGCCAAACAGGTCAGCTGTGCACCTGGGTAGGCATGTGTCAACCTGGTGGGCCAGTTGGTGGGTCAGGGTGTGGGGTTCTCTGTAGACACTCTAGGCTTAGTCCCAGGGGAGCTGTCTACCCACTTGCAGTCTTACAGACCACATCTTCCTTCTGAGTGCAGATGCTGACAGTTGTACCTCATGTGGTCCTGTGCCTCTACTCCTCTGTGACACAGGATGCTGGGCACCTGTCTCTGTTTTGTAGAAGCTTAGGTTCCAGTGATGCACCTGAGGAGAACTGTGACCAGGAGGGACCCAGGGAGGCAAGATTTCCAACCTAACTGGTCCCTGTTGCCTCATCTCTAGCCCCTGAAGTTATACTGTTGAAACAAGTCAAAATCCCTAGCAGGAAAATGACCATCAGAACTGTCTCCAGTTCCTCCATAAGCCTCTGTGATTTCCAGAAAATGAGTGTTTCTCAACTGTGTGTTCCAGGAAGAGAAAAAGAAAAAATGTTATTTCTTAAAATTTAGCTAAAAGCCTGGAAGATGCTGGGCAGGATGTATGTTCTGTGTACTGGCACCTGGCAGTGGGGGCAGGAGGGTTTGAGTGAAAGGTTGCCTGAGTGAGAGTGGGGGTGAGAGGAAGTGATGTGATGTGGTAAGTGAAGGGCGCAAAGTGGGGATGGGATGGGTGAGGTGCAAATGGAGGGATGGGGTGAGGGGCACTGAGTAGGGGTGGGGGTAAGTGAGGGACATAGAGTGAAGATGGCTTGGGGTGAGTGAAGGATGCAGAGGGAGGGGAGAGTGAGTGATGATATAAAAGGAGAATGGAGGAGGGATGGCACATAGAGCGAGAGTGGGGTGTGTAACAGTGGTACTTAGGTTGGCGTGGACGTGTGAGTAGGGGTGAGGAGTATTAAGTTTCTTCTTCAGACTTTCCTGGTCAGTGAAATTTAAAGGGCTTGGCAGTCAGTAATGGACCCTCCTTGTGGCTCTGGATAGCCACTCTTCCCCAGCCCTATGGCTTCTACTGTTTCTCTTTAAGAGGAGCCTAGTACAAGGTTGAGTAGGTGCTCTGGACCAGGAGCAAGGGCTCCATTTCTGCCCACCCCTGAGGAGCCTTGTTGTGGTGGTGGTGGTAGTGTGCTGTAGAGTCAGTTCATAGCAAACCTGTATAGGGATTCTGAGACTGTAAATTTTTACGGGAGCAAAAAGCCTCATCTTTTTCCTACAGAACGGCTGGTAGATT